GGTGACTGATCCCACGGCTATCTTTTAAAGTGTAACCCAATTTTTCCCAGAGGCTGCGTTTGCGTCAATGAATAATCCAGCATCATTGTATTGTCAATGTTAGTTGGCGTGACCAATGATTCAGCAGATTAGCCGTTTCCTTGGTACCTTTGCACAAATAATGCTTTTGGCAGCGGTCTGCGAGAGATCGGAATTCCAAGATAACTCGAGACATTTTTCAGCACAAACAGCAAAAGAGTGTGTCAGCCTATTGCGTCTGTGACACCTCCACCTGTTTTTCCCCCAAGTCTCCGGTTTACGATTCCCCCTTCCTCAGCTCACACCCTACATCCCCACAGGTGGTTACCCAGTTCCCTTTCGAGTGGCAAATCGTTTAAAAGCTAAATACCAACAACGTCCGATTCTGCATCTGCTAATGTTTTAGATCATAACAGTCGGAGACCGTGTGGGGAGAGTAGACTTGAGTCACCTTAGGACAATTAAATAGTAATAATCCTTTGATTTCACGTCGGGAGCATGTCTCAAAGCACATCACAGGATTTACTGTAAAGGTTAACGACTATATTTTGCAAGCATTCGCGGCATTCAGCTTGCACACAGCAATGTCCCACAGGCAGCCACAAACCAATTTTATCTAGAGGATTGTTGGCCAGGACACCGAGAGAGAGAGAGAGAGAGAAGAGAGAAAGAGAGAGGTCAGGCCTAAACAACACAGATGTGGGAGTGAATGTGTACTGAACGGGTTCAAGGGAGGAATTTGAATAGAACTTTCCCTAGGAGATAAGAGAGGGCGAGTTGAATACAGTCAGACTCAGTTATATCATGCTTCGATTCAGTATATAACACAGGGCCTCCGCAGCAAACCGCGAGCGAAGGAACCTAGGGCCTGAGCTGGCCAGCTTTCTCCGTGTCCTCGGCAAGGACGATTAACATCAACTGCGATGTTACAAACCAAAATTGCTGATTAAAGCACGGCCCGTTGCGACACAAGGTCTGATCTTATGGACCCAAAGCACCGGCTTATAACATGGTCTACGACTCTGATGTAGGTCATGAAGGGCCGGTGGAGGAGGTGATTCTGATGAGCCAAATGCTGTATGTAAACTTTTCTCGATCAGTGCTTTGCTAGGCTCAAATGACTGCAACACCGTTAGTTCAGATTAACCTGGGCAATGTTTAGTCCCGACCAGTCTGTATTTGCGAGACCCTTTACACCATAATCAAGCAACGTATTGCCCCATTTTAAAAAGAGAGATGAGTTTGTGCTTAAGAGGCTATAATGTTAACACTTGCTGTGTTTTGGGCAAGACTTTAAACCAAGGTCCTGTCTGTCTGTATCTGGTCAAGGCGACACTATAGAAAGATTTTTTGGGAAAGAGAAGGAATTTCTCACTCCCAGCGTTCTGGCTAACAATCCCACCCCCCCCCCCCCCACCAAGATAAAACTGATCATTCGCCTTATGGCTCTTTGTGGGACCTTGCTGCGTGTCGCTATAAAAACAGTCACTACGTTCACCAGCAAGCACCTGCGAAGCTTCGAGATCTTTCAACAGAAGAAGGCGCTATAAAAATGCAAGTTTTCCCCTTTGATTGGATCGCAACTTGTGCTAAGTGTTTATTGCCAGTGCTGAGCTTTGCTGGCAAATACTCCAACAATCCAGTTTTCGTTCCGGAGAAAAGTTTTGTAAAGTCTTCGGGCTTCACCCCTCAATTTTGCACACTGTCCCTGCCAATACCACTTCACAAAGCACAGTTTGTTCGGGTTGTACGGTAGACATTAGAAGAGCATTATAAATAAGCTTGATTACACAGTCTGCTCCAAAAATAAACAAGCAAGACTGCTGCGCTCGCATATTAAACAGGCCTCATATAATTTCCCCAAACCTCCTCCAACCACTTTTCCAGTCACACAGGATGTTACTTCTCTCGTCTATCCCAGTTAGCAAAGATTAGCGAGTTTTTTTTCACTGCTTGGGAGTGTGATGGCTGCTAACCAGGCTAGTCTTTTTTCCATTTTCCTTTCTTCTCCCAAGACACACAGCTTAATGGCGCAAGAATAGGGGGAAATTATTCTCCCTAGACTTGTGGCTTTTTGCAGTTAATTCCCCCACAGACACATTTAACACAGGTCGAGGGTTGTGTGCGTGTGGTGGGGGGGGTGGGGGTGGGGTGGGGGGTTATGAGGGGGTGGGGGGGGGGGAGAGGAGGGGGTGGAAAGAATGTAGATTTATGAAACGCAGGAATAGAATTCTGGCTTTAAGTTCAACATAACCCTTTTTTTTAGAGAAAGCTGTAAGCCATCAATATTGACAAATTTTAAAAAGAATCCTTCAAAGTTAGAAAAGCAACAAATTAATCCTGATCTCTTAATGACAGACTATTCACACTTATGCAATCGAGTTGACTCATTCCACAAATAAACAGCAGTTCGCCAAACATTTACAGTGTGTAAGGTCTGCAGATTTATGCAACGCACACATGAGATTTGCCCTGAAACACACCACCACTAAGTCATATGTCTGCTTACATCCGAGGCAAGCAGGTCACCCTGTGTATTGAAGGATGTGGAAAATGGTTTGAAACCCTTGAGCCATCCTCAGCAGGTTCTCAACGTCAGTCGTTGTTGGTCTGTGTAAAACTGGCACTTCCGACTCAGAAGGTCATGGGTTCGAGCCCCCAACATCAGGACTCTGAACTCATATCATCTAAGGCAAGCTGACGACTCCCATGCAATTGGCATTCGAGTGCAATTAGCTGCTGTTTATGCTCACAAAACACACAGTCACTGCACTCTACGTCATATCCTGTGAAGCACTTAAGAGCATCTTCCTTCCAGCACGTCAGGCACTACACCAAACATAAGGTTTATTATTATTAAAACCTTCTTCCCAATAAGAAGTGGTTTTGCCCAGGAATACACTGTGATACCGCACAAACATCACACCAACTTTCGGGGTGGGGGTGGGGGTGGGGGGGTTGGGGGGTGCTCCAGGTCAGGTTAAACACAGCGAACGGTACTATTGTATATGCAAATATGGTGGTGTTAAAGAGTCCATTTGAACAGCATCTGCACTGCAGCGTTAAAACTATTTGGATCCAATCAGTTGGGTTGCTGGGAAAATGCCCTCATTAATCCGTTCACCATTTACAGACATCAGTGTAATCTGCGACCTTGCATGTTCTCCGGACAACTCTGTGGAATTACAAGGCTGGGTCGGTACGAGTTTAGGTATTAACAGTCGCACAGTTACTTTTCACAGCCAAGTCTAAAGGCCAACAAAGTGGGACATCGACTGGTTAAAATGGTCTGAGCGCTCTTGCTACATTTGTATTGATAATCTTATCTTTCAACTCTGAACTCAACACTTTATTTTGAAGAAACTTCCATCCCCACCACCGCTCCTCCCTGTATAATTTCCTTTTTTCGGGGGGTGGGGGGAGGGAAGTGGGGGGAAAAGAGGACAAACCCCAGTTTGTTTTGATGCATCGTTAACCCCCTCCCCACATTTTCGCTTGGATCCCTAAAAAAAAATGATGCTTTGAACGTTCGAAAGCATTCACCCCTTGGTGTTCTAGCTTGAGCCTTGGCTGTATCACAGAGTGTCAACATGGCAACAGTCACCCCAAAACTGCATACGATAGAGAGAAAAAAACAGCTTTACACAAATAAAGAGGGGTTCATGTGATCTATCAATGTCTACATGCGCACGAACAGGGTTCAGGCTCGTAAATCAGGTAATACCCCGGATAAATTCTGTTGCATTTTAAAGAGCGAGCGAGAGAGAGAGAGAGAGAGAGCAAACAGTCACTTCAACTCAAGCCTCAAACCCTTGTGTCAATTTCACCACATTTCAAACAAACACCGATGACCAGAGGAAAGGCTGAGGGGGTTGGGGGTGGGGTGGGAAGGAGAAGAAAGATAACGTATAGTAATAATAATCCTCGAATCTGGCAGACGTGGTGAAACGGTTTGGAAAGGCTGCTCAAGGGAATGAGTATATAACGTTCAATTGGGATCTCCCCCCAAACCCCCGCCACCCTCCAGGCAAAGCGATATTTTGCGAGCTCCCACTTAACTCAAAACTAACCTGCGCGCCCGTTTACAAAGGGGCGTAGCACAAAAGAGCGAAGTGTTAGCCACCAATGTGTCGGGTGGGGGCGGGGGGCTTGGTGCCAATGTCGGCAGAATAAGGTGGCTTCGCAAGATATTTGTCTTAATATAATCGCACCGCGCGTGTGAACAAAAACAGCTTTGCGCGAGGGCCTAATTTTTAAAGAGATATTTAATTGAAACCTGCATAACCCTCTCCCTCCCCACCCCACCCCACCCGCAGTTTGACAAATCTTTTTCTCACACGGCTTCAAAAAAAAAGCACTGAAGCCTAAACCAGCCACTTTGCTGCTAACCTCCGAAAGACACAGTCACTCCGCTTTACAGCACGCTCTGTGAAACGCTTCGAGGCGTCTCAACGACGCGATAAGGCGCTGCATCAAATCGGAAGGATTATTATTATTATTATTAACAACATTATTATTACCCGCTGGTAACAAGGCAGCGCACTCTAACGTACGGGGCGAGGAATCTGGGCTGCAAACGGGCGTGTTAATTTCTGGGCGAAAACGGAATTTTTAATTGCCAGGTACACCCTTTGAATAAGGAATTGCAAATTTTCTGGCAAATGGTTCGGGAGTGAGTGAGGGAGGGAGAGGGAGTGAGGGAGGGAGAGGGAGAGGGAGGGAGAGGGAGTGAGGGAGGGAGAGGGAGAGGGAGTAAGTGAGGGAGGGAGAGGGAGTGAAGGAGTGAGGGAGAGAGGGAGATCATTCCACACATCTTTGGGGTGGGGTGATGGAAAAAAAAAAGAAAGGCTGTTGAGACGAGATGGGGAGAGAGAAAGAGAGGGGTGGGGGGGGGAGAGAGAGAGAGAGAGAGAGAGAGAGAAAGGGAGAGACACACATTACACAGACACACACCAGATCAGTTGGGTTTCCACTCCACTCACCTACATCAGCATTGCAGAAGGCTTGTTGTGGATGGATAGGAGCGCAGCTGCAGCCCTCAGCTATCTGTTGCACCCTCAGAAACAGCAGCAGAGAGAGGGGAGCAGCCAAACTGCGGACTGCTGCACTCATTTTCATCTTCATCCTCAGTTGGGGAGATGGAGAGAGAGAGAGAGAGAGAGAGAGAGGAGGAGAGAGAGATAGAGATTCTCTCACACACACACACACAGAGGGAGAGAGTAGCAGTGGAGGTGTGAAACAAAACAGCAACAATTACAGCTGCAACAATAACAAGGGTTGCAGATGTTTTGACAGATGGATGGATGGATGGATGGCTTTGGGTTTCTTTTTGCTTTCGATTTTTTCTCTCTCTCTCTCTCTCTCTCTCTCCCCCCACCCCTTTCTTTTCCTGGAAAGCCTTCGAGAGATTTGGGGGGGGGAGGAAAAAAAGGGGGTGGGGAGGGGAGAGAGAAATAAAGAAAGGGAGGTGGGGTAGAGGGGTGGGGGGGTGTTTGATACTCAAGAAGCTTCTTTCTGGTCTGGTGGGGGGGGGGGGGGGGGAGGGGGTGGAGGGGGGGGATAGCAACCTCTGGGAAGTTCTGTTAAGCACAGGGAGGAGAGAGAGAGAGAGAGATAGAGAGAGAAAGAGGGAAAAAAGAGAGAGAGGGAGGAAAACAAATCCACACAAATGCAGAGGAGAAAAAAGGGGGAAATATAAATATAAATATAACCCCCTTTCTTACACACACCCTCACCAAACCCCCCCCCCCCCCACCACCCCCCACACACACACACACACAAAAAAGTCAAATAACTCTAAACTAGTTTTGCTTCTTCTGGAAAAGAGGCGTTTGCTTTAGCTCTCAGTGCTAAGCCCCCATTTTATGTTCTGGAGCACTTTCTGTTATCCCCGCCTTCCCAGGGCAATAAGCCAGTCACAGTAAGATGTCCTGATGGCATAATATCAAAGAGAAAAAGGGGGAAAGAAAATGCATGTTGTTTTTTTTACACTGCTTGGGTAATTCCACACATCCCCCCCCCACCCCTTCCCCTTCTTTCCTGCTGAGCTTAAAAAAAATACACCCCCTCTCTCTCTCTCTCTCTCTCTACCCCCCTTCCGAAACCCCAAAACAATAATAAATTGGTCATTTTCAATCCACGACTGTTTGCGGGACATCGCTGTGCGCAATCGGCTGCCGCGTTCGCCCACAAATACACAGTCAATTCACTTTACAGTGTGTTCTGTGAAGCGCTTTGGGACGTCCTCCCGACGTGAAAAGCGCTATATCAAATGCAAGGATTATTATTATTATTATTATTATTATTATTACCTACCCATCTCTCCATCTCTGTGTCTCTATCTCTCTATCTCTCTCAGTGCATCAAAGTATCTGACCTAATGATGTTTTGCTAACAAAAAAAAGATTGGCAAACCTCAAAACTGCTAGAGATCAGGTCCTGTCCCAAATGAAATTGTGCTTTCTGGAAGCTTCATTTTTTTAAATTTCCTTTCACACACACACACACACACCACACAAACACTCAGTGCCTGTGGAATGTTTTAGTAGGACACACACACACACACACACATACACAAACCCCCCCCCAGGGGCATCGTTAGCCATTGATGCATCATTTAACATGTTTTTAATTAAAAAAAAGTCTTTTGCGCCCGTCCACGCTGATTATTTTATACATTTTTCCAAAAAATGACAAAAGAAAGGGCGAGAAATGTCCATATCGCCCCGCTTTGCACATTACTTATTTTTCTGGGGGTTGGGGTGGGCTCTGACACAGGCGGAAACCCCCCACCGTGCTTTAAGAGGATCCAAACCAAACTGAAAATTCCACGCATCCCACCTAATCATGGAGACTCCAGAGATAGATCGCTGGAATGGAATGCGCACTCTCTCTCTCGCTCTAATTCCAGAAAGTATTAGATGTAGATTGGCAAGAGTCAAGGGTTGGGGACCCCCAGACTGTGCGTTTTAAAGTACAAGACAAAAAGCGGGGGGGGGATCAGTATAACTTTTTTTTAAAACTACAAAAAAATCCTGCTAGATTTCACATGTTTGATTTCACTGGCTGGGTACAGTTTGCTGACATGCATTTAACCGGTTGATTTAAAAAAAACATCATGTGATAGTTTGGTAACCAGGGAGCAAAGGGAAAAAAAAAGTCTGGAGTACAGTATAAATATGTTCAGGATTACCCTATTCAAGTATCTATTCAATCCCCTGACAATCCCTTGGATTAAAACATACAAAGCTCCTTTCTTTTCTCTCTGGAATTACAATAAACCAGATTACGGTCAGATCCTGCGAAGCGCTATGAGACGTCCTCCTAACGCGAAAGGCGCTGCGCTGAGGAATAGCAGGAAACGCGGTAGAAAAATAACACGAGAAAAGAATAAGTTGAAGAAAAAGCAGCGGAATGAAACAAAAGTGAGGAGGGACGAGGTCACAAATCACAAGTGGTGAGACTGCTGACTGGAAGACACTTGTTAAATCCATTTGGGGTTTTGACATTTCTGCAGCGAATAAAACACTAGTAAAAACCAAACGTTCTCTCTGGCTGTAAGAGCACGGCCACGAAAGCACAGGAAGAATATTATTGCCCTTCGGAGGCTTCAGCGTTAGAGCAACAAAGATGACACAGGGTCTCAGGAATCCAGTGTTGTACGGGGAAAGGCTAGTGAGGCTGGCCTCAATCCCAGTGGAAAAGAAGAGATTTTTGAGGAGCTCCGCTCAAAGTTATGAAGGGACTTGATATCGTCAATCGAGACTGCATTAATTGTTTATCCTGATGTGAGGTTCAAGAGAAAAATGAGGGACCAAGGACTGTTTGAGAGAAGAATTCACATCAATAGTAATTGACAAATTGAAACAAGCGACCAGTGTAGTTACTTGAAGAAAATACTGTAAAATAATATGACAATACGGTATAGGGTATAGGGCCTTATCGTGTTACTGAGACATCTCAAACCACTTCACAGGATTTCCTGTGAAATGTAGTGACTGGGTATTTGTAGACAAATGTGGCAGGACAAGTGTGCACAGCAATGATTCACAAACGGCCATGGAGTTGGTGACCAATTTTATTTGGGGAGGACTGTTGGGCAGGACACCCGGAGAGAGACACTCCCTTCTCGTTTCAAATAGTGAAGATCTCTAACCTCCGCCTGAACAGGCAGATGGCACCTCGGGTTTAATGTTTCACCCGAAGACCGGGACCTCCGACAATGCAACACGCCCCTAGCACTGCGCTGGAGTGTCGTCCTAGACGATGTGAATTCAAATCCTGACCTGGGAACAATTCTAATGCACGGATCGCATTAATAATAGCTGCGCTCGATACCACTCCTTTCACATCACGTCTCAAAGCACTTCACAGGATTTTACTGTGAAACTCAACAACTGTAATTTTGCGGGCGATCGCATCAGCAAATGTGCGCACAGCAGTTTCCCAGAAACAGCCACAAAGTGAACGATTGATTTTATCAGAGGGATTGTCGGCCAGGAAACCGGGCGAAACGCCCTTCTCTTTTTCGAGTTGGCGTTATGGGATCTTTAACGTCCGCCTAGGATGGGGTAAAGATGTGCAGCTCAGTGCTTTGACGTTGAACGGGGATGTGTGCAAATAAAGGAGCAGGGGAATACATTAAGAAGACTGGCTCACACACTAACTCCAGATTCGCTTGCACAACCCTCAGGTTTTGAAATCATCACCCGATGAAATAACTTGTGGTGAATTTCTGCACAGTAAAGTTGAGAAACTGCAAGTTTTTTTAAAAAAATTGGGCATCGCTGTTACCCTTGTAGCTGATTTGGTATGAATTCAGTTCCGCTAAGTCTCAGCCTGTAATGTAAGACCATCATTTTATAGCAATAATATAATAAGGCTTGTATTTGATATAGTGTTTCATCATTTTATCGAGCCGTCTCACTGAACTTCCCAAGCTTTTGCTGTACAGGGTATTGACTGTATTTGCAGGTGTTCGCTGCAACCAATTGAGCTGCCGCGCTTGTCTACAAAACACACGGTCACTGCACTTTACACTAAACCCTGCGAAGCACTTCGCGACGTCCTCCCACCGTGAAAGGTGCCATATCAAATACAAGTGATCCAGACCTCCACAGCCCACAACCTCTACTGCACAGGGCTGTACATAATAATAACCTTTGCATTTGATAAAGCTCCTTATCACATCGTCAAAAGAATTATTGTAACATGTAGTAATTGGGAAATCTCACCCCCCTTTCTCCTCCCCGTCCCCCAGGCACTGTGAGTGCCCACATTTTGCTTTTGTAAGATTCACATACCAGATTTCCTGTAATGGTTATTTTGGGGGATCGGGGCAGAAAAGGTGCAATCAATCTTACCTTAGCTGCGCTGGTTCTTTCAACAACAACAACAACAGCAACAACTTGCATTTATATCGCGCCCTTCACGCGAGGCAGTGTCGTAACAGCGGTGGAGCTGTTTCAGTCGAAAAAAAAGTCAACTTTAAATATATCTGCAGTTTATACAATTAGGCTTTAGTTCACTCAAGTGCTGTCCCATGCACTTGAATGAATGCAACTGTTAAGACTTATTTTTGTAGTACTTTGGAGCATGTATTTTTCCTCCTGAATATGTTAACTTAACAGGCCTATAATTGCCATCATCGTCCTTCTGATCTTTTTAAAAATACTGTATTGGAATAACATCCTGCTATAACCCGCAACATTTAATGAACTGTGATAATTTTAGAGACATTCTCGCGTGTTTCAACTCTAACTTGGGGAGACTTGGGTCAAGACTTTATTCTATTTTCTTAGCATTTCAGAGCATCCAGAATTTGGCAAATTCTTAAATATGGTATTAATCTTGAAGCCCTTTCTCTCCGCGAGTTTCTTTTAAGGAACTGCAGAAAGACGTCTGCGACTTTAAGACTTCACATTCAACAATTTGCCAAATTCTTGATGCCTTAAAATGTTACATAAACAATACATCTAAACCAGATGGAATTTGTTTGAGAAAAAAAAGTGACCAGTTAATATCTGAAGTACACTACAGAAGGAGACCATTCGGCCCGTCATTGAAGGAGATACCTAACTAGTCCCATTCCCCTGTTCTTTCCCCATAACCTTGCAAATTTTTCCTTTTTAAATACCTATCCAATTCCCTTTTGAAAGCTGCTTTCGAATCTGTTTCCA